ACCCCCCGGCCTAGCACCCCGCTCCTCCAGCCAGCCAGTCAGCCAGCCCCCCACCACGCCCCAACTAGCCACTCCGGGCACCCTGCAGCCAACTAGCCAACAACCCCCCCCAGCTAGCCACCTCGCCCCTCCAGCCAGCCAACCACCCCCCCAACTAGCCACTCCGGGCACCCTGCAGCCAACTAGCCAACAACCCCCCCAGCTAGCCACCCTCCCAGCCAGCGAGCTAGCTAGCCACCTTGCCCCTCTGGCTAGCCAACCCGCCCCCAGCTAGCCACCCTCCCAGCCAGCCGGCTAGCCACCCCGCCCCTCCAGCCAGCCAACCCCCACAACTGGCCACCCCCATGCAGAGCTAGCCACTCCTGGCACCCTGCAGCCAACTAGCCACCCTCCCAGCCAGCCAGCTAGCCACCTCACCCCTCCAGCTAGCCAACCACCACCCCAGCTAGCCCCCTCCAGCCAGCCAACCCCCTCCCCGCTAGTCCCCCTCCAGTCACCCTCCCAGCTAGCCAGCCACCTCGCCCCTCCGGCTAGCCAACCACCCTCCCAGCTAGCCACCCTCAGCCAGCCAACAACTGTACCATGGGTACTGTGCTAGCCACCCTTATGCAACGCTAGTCACCCTGCCCCACTAGCTAGATAGCCACCACCACCCCAGCCAGCCAGCCAGCCATCCCACCCTGCCAAATAGCCAGCCACCCCCTCCCCGCCACACCAGCCACCACCCCACCAGCTAGACAGCCTGTCCCGCCCTGCCAGACAGCCAGTCACCCCCCCAGACAGTCAGCCACTCTGCCCCGCCATCTAGCCACCCTGCCCCACTAGTCTACCAGCCAGCCACCCCACCGGCTAGCCACCCTGCCTGCTAGCCAGCTAGACACCCTGCCATCTAGCCAGCCACCCCCATGCACAGCCAGCCACCCATCCATCTCCATGTACATCTATCTAGCCATCCCCATACACAGCCAGATAACTATCCATCCATCCATCCCTGTATACAGCTAGCTAGCCATCCCCATGTGTATTTATTTATCCATCCTTCCATCCATCCCCAGAAATAAGAACGGCCATACTGGGTCAAACCAATGGTGCATCTAGCCCAGTATTCGGACTTTGAACAGTGGCCGATGCCAGATGCTTCAGAGGGAGTGAACAGAACAGGGCAATTATCAAATAATCCATCCCCTGTTGTCCACCCCCTGCTACTGGCTGTCAGAGGTTCAGGGTCACCCAGAGCATGGGGCTGCGTCCCTGGCCATCTTGGCTAATAGTCATCGATGGAGCTATCCTCCATCAACTTATCTAATTCTTTTCGAACCCACTTATACTTTTAGCCTTCACGACATCCCTTGGCAATGAGTTCCACAGGCTGTGTGTTGTGTGAAGTAGTATTTTTTGTTTGTGTGAAACCTGCTGCCTATTCATTTAACTGGGTGACCCCTGGTTCTTGTGTCACGTGAAGGGGTAAATAGCACTTCCCTGGTCACTTTTTCCTCACCAGTCATGATGGTATAGACCTCCGTCATATCCCCCCCATCATCTCTTTTCGAAACTGAACATTCTCAGTCTTTTTAATCTCGCCTCATTTGGAGGCTGTTCCATACCCCTAATCATGGTGGTTGCCCTTTTGTGTACGTTTCTCAGTTCTAATGTATGTTTTCTGAAGTGGGGTGACCAGGACTTCACACGGTCTTCAAGGTGTGGGCATACTATGGCCTAAATAGAGGCATGATGATATTTTCTATCCATCCCTTTCCTACTGGTTCTTAACATTGTTGGCTTTTTTGACTGCTGATGCACCTTGAACAGATGTTTTCAGAGAACGATCCCCAAGGACTCCAAGAGCTCGTTCTTGAGTGAGAACAGCTGGCTTAAACCCCGTCATTTTAAATGTGTATTTGGGAGGATGTTTCCCAGCGTGCATTACTTTCCATTTATCAACATGGCTAGCCATCAGCGGTTAGCCATCCCCATACACGGCTAGCTAGTTATCCATCCCCGTGTCCATCTATCCATCCCCACCCATTCCCCCAAACATCTATCTATCCATCCATCCCCATCCATCTATCCCCACTCACATCCATTCCCCCAAACATCTATCTAGCCATCCATCTATCCCCACACACAGCCATTCTCCCAAACATCCATCTATCATCCATCCATCTCCACGCACATGAGCAATGAATCATTTTCTATCTAATCGCGATGATGACGACGCCCCCACCCCCACAGAGAAGGCAATTAACCAGTGGACCAACTTGCCCCACATGGTGATTCGCCATCGCTTGGAGTCTTTAAAGCACGACTGGACAGCTCGATCTAAAACCTGCACTCTAGCTCACCCACCAGATATGGGCTAGAGGCAGGACCCCCTGGGTGATGTTTGGTGGCCTGTGTTATGCTCTTGCTCAGCCAAGGTGATCAAGGTCAAAGGCAACTGGCTGGAGAAACTCCCTGCCATCAGAAATCATTGAGGCCAAGAGGCTCATGAGTTTCCCAGAGGGGCTGGATAGATTTATAGATAGCAGGAATAGACAGACTTAGACGAGTGAATGCTGATGTGAGCAGGGATATTAAACCTCCTGATTTAGGGCTTAACCCAATCTCTAGAGACCAGGATTGGACCTGGCACGGGGGAGGGAGGGTGTCATAAACATACAGCTAAGGGTAGCATAAAATCCCTCCTTTACCTGAACGGGGTTAAGAAGCTCAAATAACCTGTTTGGCACTTGACCAAAAGGACCAATAAGGGAAGAAGATCCTTTCAAATCTGTTTGTGCTCTCTTTGTGTTCTCTCTCGGACAGAGAGGGACCAGGGCAGGAAAAAACATCTCCTAAAACCCTACCTGAAACAAGCATCCAAGATTACAAAAATTGTAAGTAATAGCAAGGAAATGCGTTAGCTTATCTTTTGTTTTAGCTTGTGAATTTCCCCTATGCTAAGAGGGAGGTTTATTCCTGTTTTTTGTGACTTTGAAGTTTTGCCTAGAGGGGAATCCTCTGTGTTTTAACTGTTATTACCCTGTAAAATTACCTTCCATCCTGATTTTACAGAGGTGCTTTTTTACTTTTTTCTTTATAAAAAAGTTCTGCTTTTAAGAACCTGATTGGTTTTTAGTAAAACTAAAAACCCAAGGGTCTGGTCTGTGCTCACCTTGTTTACCTTTTTGGTTGGTATATTATTCTCAAGCCTCCCCAGGAAAGGGGGTGAAGCGGTTTGGGGGGATATTTTGGGGAAACAGGAACTCCGAGTGGTCTTTTTCCTGAATCTTTGTCTAACTCACTTGGTGGTGGCAGCGATACCGTCCAAGGACAAGGAAGAATTTGTGCCTTGGGGAAGTTTTTAACCTAAGCTGGTAGAAATAAGCTTGGGGGTCTTTCATGCGGCTCCCCACATCTGTACCCCAGAGTTCAGAGTGGGGAGGGAAGCCTGACAGGGGCCCGATTGTTCCACACCTTCCTCCGCAGCATCTGGCACTGGCCACTGCCATAGACAGGACACTGGACTGAACAGCCCTCAGATCTGATCCAGTCTGGCAAGTCCAATATTTTCCTAACACAATGGTCCCTTCTGGGCTTAAAATCTATGAATCTGCCCAGCCCTCGCTCAGGATCAGGGCCACATCGGGCTTGGTGCTGTACAGATCTAGATAAGAGATTTTGCCAATCCTGCGGGGCTTAAACCTACTCTGTATCTGGGGATGCAATTCTAGTGGGCGAAGTATCCATGCGATGGCTGGGTGGGGCCATGGGGCTCTTGCACTGGGCCAGTTTTCTGTCCTCCCAAGTCCATATGGGGCTCCTGGTGATCACTGACAAATATTGCTTGTATATCACAGTGGCACCTACTGGCTCCAGCTGAGATCAGGCCCCGAGGTTGCAGTAGGGCCTAGTGGATAGATCACAGGACTGGGACTCAGGAGTACGGGGGTTATTCCTACCTCTGGCTGCTGGGTGACTGTGGGCATGTCATTTCCCTGTTTCTGTGCCTCAGTTTCCCCAGGGATAGGGATAATGACCTCCTTCGTAAAGCGCTTTGAGATCTACTGATGAAAAGAGCTAGACATTATTATACTGGACACTGCACAGAAAGAGTGAGAGACAGGCCCTGCCCTGAACAGCTCACAGCCTGAATCGACAAATGGCAGGAAGGGAAACTGAGGCAAAGAGCAGGGACGCGACTTGTCCAAGGTCAGCCAGCTGATCAGTGGCATAGCTGAGAATAAGACCCAGGTCTCCTGACTTCCACTCCCTACCCACTAGGCCACCCTCAAACAATGGGGCTTTTTGCATTGAATGC